GTAATACATTTTTAGTTTTTATTGTGATGAGTTAAAAATAATAATTTGTGAACAATTGTTGCTTGAAGTAGATGATGTTATGGATGTGACAGTGTGAAGATGACATACAACAATAACAATGCGGAGACGGTGTTAGTTTTTTCCAACTTTAGAAACGGTGCCTAGATTTCAACTTTATTGTTTTATAGTAGCAATCTAGCGGACTAAATAAAGAGTTGCAGGACATTAACTCTCATTTTCATCAACACCAGTTGTATTCACTTTTCTAATATTAATAATATTTTTAGTTTTTTTGCTATTTTTAAATTTCTTGTTTTAACTCATTCTACTTTCAATTATGAAACTTCAAGTGCTATTTTGAGTCTTGTGTGAGTTTAAATTACTTTTAGAAAGATAAATCATAGTAAGTTTGACTTGTTTCCAATACGTGACAACATGTCATTGGTCTCCTAAACCTTCTAGATGTGTACTAATCCATAGGTTGACGTGGCGACATGCCATTTGAGCTTTTCAAACTTCTAGAAATTCCACTTGTCACTAAGTCAACATTAGTGTTCATTGGTCATAACCAATGAAATCCTCATGTTTTAGTCAAACCAATCAAAAATCAATTGTTTATTCAAAGTTTCACATCCTTGAAATCTGGACATTGATAGAAAAAAAAAAAATTGTACTTACTTAAAACATTCTAGAATTTGCTTAATTATTTTGCCAACTATAGATTTCAAATCTAGACACAGTTATAATCAAATTAACTTAGTTATAATTAGCTAGGCTTAGTTATTCCTAAACTAACCATGATCAACTCCTCGGCTACTTCTAATCCTACTTCACACATACAAAACCAATCTTATAATATCAATCTTACTATTCTTACTCTGCTTGGTGACTTTTTGGATGGCCGCTTTTACTTATTCCCATGTCACTTCTTCAACATTTGAAGTAATTTGATCTAGAGCATTATCAAGCTCTATCCTTAAACTCGCATCTGCTACCTTTACCAAAAGTCTATCCCGACTTGGATTAATGGTTGCCACATTTTTAATAGAAAGCTGCTGATACTTTCTATTAAACTATCTAAGCAATTCTTGTGGCCCCAAATTCTTATCCTTCTCATGCATCCAACTGATAAATGTAACTGCCGTCACAAGATTCGTATCCTCAACCCACAACTCCTCCTTCAGCTTTAACTCAAAAGTCTTTCAAACTCTATTAGCCTCACTTGCAAATCTTGTAATAAGGTCTTTAAACTCCGGCTTCACAAAAGTTGAAAGCTCATCTACTGCTACTTTAGCAATCAACTCATGAATTATAACTTCCATTCAATCCTACTGAAAGTACTTTGTGACCTTCTTCCCATCAAATTGCACTCGCTTGATCAAAACAATATGTATGCATTTAGTTATTTTAATTGCCTCTTCCTTCTTTTATATCTCTGATGCATCCCTTAGAGCCTTTGCATCCATAATGCTTGTAAACATGTGCCTATGATTGCTAGCAACAAAAATCCATCACCATATTACAACAATTCCAGAAGGTGAAAATACTCTAAAGGTCTCTCTCAAAAAAATGCTCTATACATGAAGAAAACTGCAAATAAAAAAATCCAAAAATTTTGATAAAATTTATTTTGATCAGGCAAGTACTGCGGCAAGTATGTCTGCTCGCCCCTTACCTTTTCCTTATTGTCGCAAAAACATTAGCTATCGCCTCCAACCATGAGATATCAAGTGGCAGACGGAGAGGAATCTTGCTCACTGACGGCGTTACTCAACAAGTGGTATTGGAATAAATCGATAATACTACGTACTCCATCATGGAGACTGAAAGGAACCTTAAAAATGTTTGTAATCTGCTTTAGGTCTTTGGATTGGCCACATGACTCATGCTCAATCGAGAAAAGTGTGCTATATATTGATATGACCAAGGCATTCCACCATGCTGGCTACAAAGCCTTGGATGGTAGATTGCCCCGCCAAACTCCTCATTCAATTTACTCAGGACGAGCTTTGATATTTCTCTTGCTACAACCGATGTTGATGCATTTCTTGCAAAGAAGGTTGACAAAAAAAGAGGTATTGGACGACTGTACATCTCTTTTTTGTAGCTCGCACAGTGATCGTGAATTCCGTGCTACTGTTGACGTAATGTTATTTCCTCAGCTTATGGAGCAGTCTAAAGACGATTCTTAACCGCATTCAAGCGTCACTTTGCAAATTTTTTGATCAAGGACTAAGGAACACTTCACAGCCTGCATCTGATGAACCGATTGTTGCGCTGGTAAGCTTGTGGGCAGTTGGAAATTGATTGATATGCATGAAGTTCTGATGGCGTTAACAAAAAAATTGAATAGTGCAAGCCTTAACTCTAGGTGATGCCTTGATGAATATACTCTTACCTCATCAAATCAGTAGGATGCAGCCATCAGATTCTCGTAACAAGCACTGTAGTCTTCAATGGACGATTCTGGCCTGCTGTTCATCCCTTCGAGGCTCTTCCATAAAGGACCGAATGACGCAAGCGTGGAGTTTCACCAGTCTGCCACTAGAATCAATCCATCCAGTGAACGCGAATGAAGTGATGAACACACAACTTTGGTGGACGAACCACTTCATGGGATCAAACTTCCGGTTTGCGGAGAGTCGGACGCGTGCTCTGGTGAGCCGAGACCTTCTGAGCTTTTGAGAGCTGTTTCAAGATCAAAGTATCACAACTCGTTCATAGGAAACGATTAAACATCAATTTGGATGGTTGGTCACTAAGCAGACCTTGATCACATGATTTCACACTCAGATCTCACAGGCATGGATTGGTCTGTAGAATCAAATAGCCGCGCAAGTTGTGGTCTCAAAGTGGGTGAACGTATTCCAAGATCAGTTGCCGGCGGACACCTCCATCATCGTGTGACTTCAAATGCATTCTTTCCCCCATTCTCGCTAGGATGACAACCACAGTTCTCCCGGCTAGATATCCCAATTATTATGTAGGTACAAGATCAAGGCGCATTCTTCCCGTTCAAGCCTCAGAGGATCAAGTCCATCGCAGCCTTCTCTTGCGCATTTGAGTTATCTCTATTCTGAACCACCCTCATTGACGCTCGAATCCTCGACCGTATTACTTGGCTTTACTAAACTGGCTTATCTTCGATTCAGTCCGATGATGTTGGCGTGGAGGGAATCAATTTCACACCTACATAGCCAAGAAGGGCTGGCTTTTACACCACCCGCGTACCCACCTTTCCCTGATCATCCAGAAGAAATGGGCTGTATTGCTACTAGCGCCGTTCATCCTGGACTAGAAGGATGTATGTACATGCTCACGTCTGCGGAAAGAAGCGGCATTTTTATGGAGATTATATCACCGCGCAGTGGTAGTGAATCAATGGTGCCACATAGCATTTGAGTAGGTCTTCGAGCTATGTTTGTGCTATGACGCAAGAGAGCCCGAATCAATCTTCACTGTTTTTTCACTTGCTGGATGGCTGTACACGCGTGGAATTTTGCGAGGACAATGCTACACAAGGTGGCGCGGTCCCCAGCTACAATCATGTTGTGGCCTAATCTGTCCTGGGAGCAATGCGTGTTTGGAGAATCGCTCTTACTGCCGCTACAGCACCTCTTCCAGTCTTGGACACTCATGAGGGGAGCGATTCTATGGGTGCTATGGATTCAAAGTAATCAATTCATCTTCCACCACCACCGGTGGAGCAGCGCGTATGGGATGCAATACTCGACTTGGCTCAGACTACATCACCTAAGATTGCATGGTGTGAGAAGCATCAGCCTCGGGGGGTGCCCAAGGCAACCAGACAGTTCCACTACACATGGGATCATAAGGAGTTATTTTTTTCCCAGCGTGCTGCAGGGATTGTATGGAACTACCAGCTACCATCACTTGCTACTTTAGTCTCTAGGTAATCAGGTAGATAGCAGTTTTATCAGGTAGTAAAAACTAAAAATGGTTTTGCTAGCTTGCCCCGACTTGCTCCGTTGTGGAGAGGTATCTGTGTTCGACTTTGCAGTGGAATAAAATCACCATTTGTTTCAAACAAAAATAAAAAATAAAAGATAGAAATAGAAAATGTTACTATAACCAGCACTGGAATAGAATGTCGGTAGGTTTTAGTGTGCAATTAGCCTCAAAAAATGAATTGAAAATTTTATAACCAACATGTGAAGGCTAAAGTTTCAGGAATTTTAGTTTTTTATCAGCAAATTTTGTATCATTCAAGTTTCAAATCCAGTGTTATCAAATTTCCAAATCCTATTTCTCAAATTAATCAAAAGTAGCAACAATCTTGGCATTTATGGACCGCATGTTGAAAATTTGTGAATAGTACTAGGCATTTATCAAGATCCAGTAGCAGAATAAGACAACGGTTTGCTTATTAATATTGATCATAGACATGTGTGCACATGTTTACACATGATAATGTTCAGAATTTATTTTTGTAACTTATTAATCCAGTGAATTTCAAATATAAACTTGTGCGACATTGCTGAAGCTACATATTTCAGTTTTCATTTGGTATGTAATGTTTACTTGTATTGGTACTGGTCATACTCACTGCAGGGGCGAAGTATTTCCTTGCTATTTGTTATTGCAAAGGCCAGAACAGTAGTATGGGTAAGTCAATACAATTTTTCCGCCAGTTACGATGATCAAGATGCAGTGACGTGTAGATGGTGCTATATCCAGGATTCCGCAACCTGACTTTCTCGACGGACTTGCCGTGAGACGCTCTTGGATTTTACCTGGTTAAGTTTTACAATGACGTCATTTCATGGATTCCAGACTATAAAAGCTGCACACGAACATTAAATTGCATGATGCTGTGTCGGATCAAGACGACTACCGCATTCACTGGTAGACGACTATCGTATCCACGGTCAGAATAGAATCAACTGTTCGTATCTTCGTGCACTGTGTGTGTGTGCGCGCGCGTTGTGTCTAATTCCACGATCATACACGTAAGGATGCATGAAACTAGGATGATAAATCCAGGAATGTTGACCCATAATATTGAACTTCATCCTCGTGTACAAGTGTGGAGTGGCTACAACTGCTAATAGATCTAGATAGTCTCGCTGGCTGTGGACATGGTATTCTAGACCAGCACATGAAGCCCTTTCCTCTCGGGGGATTATTTTAACTATATGAGCGCACGCATCCTGAAGCTACATATCGGATATGTCGAAGGTTACGACTGTTGTACTAGTTGGATCGTAAACTCCATCTATGTATGTTGATCAAGATTCCGTGGGTTTAGCTGCAAACCTCACTGAGTTAGCTGCTAATTTGATTAAAACTCATCCTCCGAAAGATGGTTAATTGACAAGTCCTGATCAAATGCACGAAATCTCCACACCCGGTTTATGAATTCTGCAAGTCCAAGACACGGATAATGCTGAAATGCGACGTCAACAACACGGCAATTCGTCCACAACTGCAGGGATCACATATCACCGAGTCGAGTCATGAGGCATTGTTCGTTCCAGTATGCGTCAGAGCGCTTCTTGCTAGTAGAGCGAGCCTGATCGAACCAACATGACACAAGGGCACATATATTTTAGCAGGTGACCAAATGAGCGAGCTCTCGAAAACGATGAAGTTCATAGATGATCTACGTAGATTAAATAATATAAATTTGTGGACAAATCAGATCGATACGGTTCAATCCATGATATGCGCAAGAGAAGTACTTTACCTGTTCACATTCCTGAAACGACCGAGGCTCCCTAGTACTTGGGAGGAGGTGGAGAGGTGTAGGCATATGGTGGGGATTTCTTAGGTGGTGGTGGAGAGGTGTAGACATATGGAGGAGGTGGAGACTTCTTCGGGGGAGGAGGAGAGCTGTAGTAATATGGAGGAGGCGGGGATTTCTTCGGTGGTGGTGGGGAGCTGTAAACGTATGGAGGAGGTGGAGACTTCTTCGGGGGAGGAGGAGAGCTGTAGTAATATGGAGGTGGCGGGGATTTCTTCGGGGGAGGAGGAGAGCTGTAGTAATATGGAGGAGGCGGGGATTTCTTCGGTGGTGGTGGGGAGCTGTAAACGTATGGAGGAGGTGGGGATTTCTTCGGGGGAGGAGGAGAGCTGTAGTAATATGGAGGAGGTGGGGATTTCTTCGGGGGAGGAGGAGAGCTGTAGTAATATGGAGGAGGTGGAGACTTCTTCGGTGGTGGTGGGGAGCTGTAGACGTATGGAGGAGGTGGAGATTTCTTCGGTGGTGGTGGGGAGCTGTAGACGTATGGAGGAGGTGGAGATTTCTTCGGGGGAGGAGGAGAGCTGTAGTAGTATGGAGGAGGCGGGGATTTCTTCGGGGGTGGCGGGGAGCTGTAAATGTAAGGAGGGGGAGACGATTTCTTCGGCGGTGGTGGAGAACTCTGGACATAGGGAGGAGGCGGGGACGTGTAACTGTATGCCAACACCTTTCGTCCTGTCAATTGCTCGATTCCGGACTCCGCCTCGACCGCAGCCGTGCTGTGAATAACTGTCAAACCCACCAGAGCTACCAGGAACAATGTCCTGCAGCTGATCATGCTCCGCGGCGGTCCCATCGCTTCCGGACTCTCCGACGTCTTCAGTGTAGTTCAGTACCGAGCTCGACACTCGACTTCAACGATGGTTTCAAATGAATGAGTCGAGAATTCTTATATACTTCCACCCGACAAACAAAACAAACTCAGCGGAGTCTTACGAGGGTAGTCGTCATCAGATAATGCCGTCTGATACTAGCAGCTGGCAGGAAGAATGAGTCTGTGGCTGCCTCACATAACTGCCCTCTGGATTTGCCCTCCCGCAATGTCGATTTCATCTACCATCATAATGGAGCAGAAAGTACCCTCCCCTCCTTTAGTTCCAATCGTCCCCGGAATGACGACTGTGCCTATCGCGTGTTATTATTGCCCAAAGGAGCAAATGTTTAAGCCAGCACCTGGGAATACACAAGGTAGGTGAAACTGAGATTGAAACCAGGAATACTGAATTGCCGCTTGGACAAGTTTCGCTTCTGGAGGCACTCAGATCGATACGTCCATGCTGTTGACTTCTCACTGTGCCTACATTAAAGGCGACGACAAGACCTTTGACTTTGGCCTCACCTGAGTCACAAGTCAAAATTCTACCTTTCAAAGACCAAAAGGTCAGTCAGTCAGTCAGACCTGAATCTTTCAGAGCAGATTCGGTGTGATTGTAGACTTACAATCAGCGTGCACGCAGCTGTCCTCCTAACCAACTTCTCCCAAATTCCTTAATTACTTTCAGGGATCTGTCGTCATGTTCTGCAACTCATGCACTAACTCTCCTAATTCTGCAAAATCATGGAACATTGTGTGGCAGGATGTTGTTGCCGTCAAATCCTGTACGGTTTCGAATGTGCTACTGGGAGGATAGGTAATGTATTGTACACAAACAGAGTCACAAAACTGAAAGTTACTCCCTCGGTTCCAAAACCTTTTACTGATAATTACCAAAATTGGATGACCTCAACGACCTAACTTTCCAAACCTCTCTTTCATCCCCATACTTGTGAAGTAATTTATGGATTTGATGGTGTGATATGTCTAACAATTTTCCAAGACAATCTTGTACATGCCAGTTACATTATTAAATTTTTACGATGTGAATGTACCATGTATAAATCATGTACCATCATATATAAATAAATATGTACTCCTATTTTTTTTCATTGCATTACACGATCACTTTAGATAGTATCTTCTAATTATTTGGACAGTGCGGGTTTGCGTACAATTCATGTCTTTTTTGGTTTGAGAAAAGAATGATTTTCATTTCAAACTGGAGATTCGAAGGGTTTCAGTGCCAAACGTGTAGATTCAAGTGGGTGAATGTGAAGCCATCTGAAGTCTAGTGATGACCTCCTCTTGTATGCAGGGAACAGGGTGTTCATTAATTATATAAATCTTACTGTCGAAGCTTTCATACATGGCAAGCGAGCGGAATATAAGTCCCTTACCGCTAACGAGATTTAGCATTTTTCACGGTCAGTTCAGGCTAAGGTAGTGAACCTTAAACGGCAGATTCATCGGCAGGATGGATTTGGTAGAAAAATGGTCAACGACTCGGTTCCAGCAGCTGCAGGTAGCAAACAGGTCAATGTTGGGAGATGTGTCGATTCCTAGGAATAACTGCAGACGACTTTCAGTTCAGCCGAGGTCAGGATTTGCTGCCTTGAGAACATCTTACACAGACTTGATATCTCCCGCAAGCGATCCCAGGATACTCGGTGATAGAGGAAGGATTCCATCCCGGTCAACGCAGGAACTCAGCGCCTGTAAGAGCAGAACGCTCTAGTTCTTAATATCACTCAAGATACAAGGAGAAAAATACTTGGTTTCTAAATACGAGATTGTGTCGTATTTCACGTTGTGAATTAATTCTTTGGGATATCATCACTATCGACAACGTGTAGGTAAAGCTTGCAGGCAGCTTAAGCTTCAGTGTGTAGGTGCGACGACTATTAGCAGCCTCCAGGTAATTTCTATCATTCCAGTTTTTCTTAACTTTGTCAACAATAATAACTAGCCCGCACTACGGAGAATATCAAGTGGTTTCAGTTTCTGACACTGGACTACACGCTCGAGTTGAGATGTCCAGCTTCCCGTGACGTCACCGTTGAGTCTCGATCGAGTGAACCACTGCGTTACTATCAACGTTACAGCAAATCAACGGCAATTCTGTACATGCGACTCGTGATTTCTGCGCTCACAGCCTTGAATAAGAACCCCGCTCTGCACCCACGGATATACTAGTGTGCATGGCCGTCCTGGGTATTCGATTCTCTTTTTCGAATCAGCGTGTTCTGTTCGCCACACTCATATCATGTCTTTGATATCGTTTATTCTTACTTCCGAAATTTGACCCAGAGAAGAATAAGTATAAAAAAATTAATTATATTTCACGTAGATATATCAGAATTCACGTAGTTCAAGAACTACGTGAATTCGATTCCTAAACACTGTCAAAGTTCTTGCACGAGAGAAGTTTATGTAGTACTGTGACAAGTCGTATTGACTATGATGTGGAACGTGGATGCAAATGTGACCGAAAAATTCTGGTTGTGTGATGTTCATACAGGTGATGGCAGACACGTGTTCCAGTAGATTTTCAAGAGCATTAAATCATCTCCCGACCATGATATGGTTCTTGTTCCAGGTAAAAATCTCGAACTCGAATTTCGTGACGAGGGTCTTCCGAAACAGAACTTCACAATGAATCTACATCACAGGCTGTACAGATGTTTAATGCAGCGAGCATTGTAAGTTGACTCTTGGGTGTCTCAGGTGGAATTTGAGTGGAAAAAGCAGAAAATTTCCAGAAGTTAAAGTTGGATAGACTTTTTGTTTTATCAAAGTGGTAATGAGTTATCAAATATTAGATAGTTATGATAACGTGATGGTGAGAAATAGACACCTATTTGTCACCATTTAATTAGCTTTTTCAATTTCAAGCTTACCAGTTTATTAATTTCCCGTCGTATAATTATTGAAGTCGTCGACTATCTAAACTCTAATTACATTCAATTTGTTTATCGGAGTTGTTAGTTAACATTCATTTAGGGTTAATTAGTTCTCTCTCTAGTATACCCAGTTCTCATATTGGTCAATGCAGGGTAATAATGATGCAGTAACAACTATAGGGTATTCGACAAATTCGATAAGACCATATACTGAGTGAGTACTATTCAACTCTAACTGAGTGATAACTAATCACTCCATTTTTTAGTCGTTTATAATTCAATATATAAATATACTAGTGTCAAGATGTAATTTATCTACTTTAGAAAAGTCACAAGCGTATGCTCGCATCCACACATGAACCTGCAGATTTGGCAAGCTATAAATACTTGCGATTGTTGAAAGAATTACTCGTATATTGAAAAGGGAAATGTGATATTAAGAGAGAGAAAGGAACATGTCATGGAGATTGAACTTTATTCTGGAATGGAGTTCTTGTCAATGTTGGAGTTGTGAGTACAAATAGGAGAGAGAAAAACGTCCTCCAAACAATCGGATGCTTCGAGTGGATAGAATTCTCTTTGAGCAAGATGCTCTCTTTGGACATCGAGCCAGGGAGCGCCTACATCATCTCATGCTGCGATTGAACAACAAAGGTCACGATGTGTCTATTTGAACACTCGATTTGGAGCATGGGATATGGTCACCATCCATCTATATCCGGTGTACCGCTTTAAAGCGAATTGATTCTATTTCTACTGAAACACAATTTTATCCTATAGGACAAAGAAGTACCATAGCACGTACAACGCCATGGCCATGACAGACAACAAACAGCTAGTATGATATTTGAGAAGTAAGAAAGGATAGTAAGAAGGATAATAAAACCACCTGCATATGGATCCAGCCAAAGGAGTAAGTTGGAAACATGTACTAGTGGACCTAACACCGTTTCTCCCGAGTTTATCGAGGTCAAAACGGTCTATATTACATGAGTGTAGAAGAAGAATTAATGAATGTAATGTGATTGCAGCATCTAGTGTAGAGCATAGAATAAAGTATTTTATTAGAAATTTAATGTGTTATTATTTATAAGAACTATTTATAATAAATCAAAGAATGATACCCCAAACTAGTGCACTTTCACAAACAAGTGAAACTCAGTGTCCAACAGAATTATGTTCCCGAATCCAATGTATCAACGATCTTTTGGCTTGTAGATATTTTCAGCAATAGATAGCAAGAATCATACAGAATCAACAGTGAAAATATATGCCACATCATATTAGTGAAGTACTAAAGTATCCGACGTTATGATATGAGCATGTTGAAGACGAAGGGAAAATAAGGTGAAGAGATTTCTTGTGAGGACTATAGGGTAATTGCATGATTGAATCCTTTGACTTATTCTAGTGCTACGTGCGGTACATGTGTTAGATTTCTCTGGACTTTCTAGTCGAACCGTCTCTTTACCTTCGTACTCAGGCTGATGTAAGTAAGTTCGGTGCCATTGGGAGGAAAATCTGAGGATTGTATGTGTCAGTGCCATCTTTAGATTGACCTTTCCTGCCAGCGCTAGACAGAAGTATTTACTTATTGCTGATGAGGAGATCGTTAATACAGGAGAGTGTATGCAAGCTCTTCATAAGTTTAGGTTTGAGCACAAGCTTGTAGCATGTATATTTTGTCTATAAAGACAATATCTTTAAGTGGCCATAATAAGTGATGAGAAGCAAGGCACTAATTTGCTGGTTTATACTTGCTTGCCATATCATTTTCTGTCTTCTATCTAATTACTTATTTTTCTCCATATATTGAGGGTAGATCCAATAGTAGGATATATTTATGAACATTTAGATCACATGAACGATAAAAAAAAATCAGCAGGGACATCAGAACTTCTTGTTGTTCCTACTTCATTGAAATAGTCTAGAACTTCGGGTATGAAACAGCATTGAAACTTACACTCGAGAAAGACAGACCAACAGTCATATCCAAAAACTCCTGGCAATCGAAATGAAAATAAAAAAATGATGAAAATCCTCCATTTTTGTATAGAGCCTGAGTTTCTAGTGATTAAATATCTAACTTAAGGAGATGAGTGAAAAAATCAAACTGTGCAGTAAAGGCAGAAAA